TTTGTGGTGAAAAGTGAATTAATGACTGTTTAAAGCCTAAAACTTATGGTTAAGGTGCTATTTAGCATTTAATTATGCTTATTTAGGTCATTAAGATGGAAGTGAGTTGTGTATGTGCTTAATTGCTTCCTTTAATTATTTAGACATTATATACTTAAATGTTTTATTTCATGACCGAATAGCAAGTGGTAGATATTTTTACCAAGGCATTGAAGGCTGAGATATTTATGAAGTTGAAGAAGATGTTGGCATGTTCAAATTCGAGGCATTTGATTCAAGGGAGGCAACGTAGAAAATTAAATGAAACTAGGGGAATTAATTTGTTAAGTTAGTGGGCACCTGTCATCATGTAATTGGTTAGTTTTGTTTAACTGGTTAGTAATAGCAGTAGCAGTAATAGAGTTGTAGACGCATGAGGGCTAGAGAAGTCAGTAGCGTCGGGTTTCTTTAGAATAGATATAGCCTCTCTGCATGTTTCTTGTGAGAAAAGTTGTGTAGGCGCAGTCCTTTGACTAATAAAAGAAATTGTTCCTCTGCCTCTTAATCGATCTCTTGTAAATTTTTCATATTGATTCGGGTCCATCGCTTCCGCGCCACCACCACCTCATCCACCCCCACCGCCTCATGGAAGATAACCTATCTCGTAAAAGTGTCACTTGGATAGTGCTTGTAGTCATTTTTGTTAACATGTCTTGCCTTCTTCTTTATCATTATCCGTATAACAATTATCAAATCTTGGTGGCCACGCCTGATCACGACTCTAAACATTCTTCTCCACCTCAAGCTTTCAGTTTCAGAAAAGCAAACATTATGATTCCCTCTCCATCATCCCATCATGACGAATCTAATACAGAAGGAGATTTGTCTTTCCCATCCTTTAAACATAAACAAGGCCCGAGGCAAGGATATAATATACCTTCTTCAGCTGATTCTGTCCCTGAAAACCCGTCTTCTCCAGCTGGCTCAGTACCAAGAAACCAACCATCTTTGGTAAGTTTATTTGGATTATAGCAGAATTTCGCCTTCACCTCAATGTGTTGGTTTGCTGCATTTCATTGTGCCTAGAGCCTTTTTCCTAAAAATATTTTTATCAACATGCTGAATGCATAACATGTTCCTAAAGTCAAATTGCTTAAATTTGGTCACATATCAAAGTCATATCCATGCTTGTGCTGGTCAAATAAATATATAGAAAAGGGTAAAATATACTTTTACCTCATTGTGATTTAATGATTTTTCATATAATCTCGGTAGTTTCAAAAGTGATACATAACCCCCCTCATAGTTTTGGACTAAAGTGTCAAAATCACGGAATTTACATTCTATAACAGAGTCAACTAAAATGTCCAAAGTATCCTTTTATGAAGTTGGAAATTTTAAATTAACCTCAGGGGGGTTATACATATATTTTAAAAATCATAAGGAGGTTATGTGGTAAAACACTAAATCACAAGGGGTTATGTAGTAAAATATAAATTCATAAAGGGTTACAGTGTCATGCATATTAAGTTTTTATATTTTAGTTACTTTAGCTATTTTACTTTGTAAACATGGATATTTTCGACATTTTCTTGAGTTTCGTTATAAAGGATCATTTTTGTCATTTTGATACTTTAATTCAAAATATGAGGTGGTTATATATAACTTTTGAAATTAGGGGGAGGTTATATGAAAAATTGCTAAATCACATATGAGTAAATTATATTTTACCCATAAAAAAGGTTATCTTGGGAAAAATAAAAGAAAAAAGGTTATCTTGAATTCGAACCTCTCACTTACCCTCTTTGCCTCCGTGTCACCCAACCCATTCCTATCCCCAACTTGTTCCTTCCATACAGCACTTTTACATGCCACTTTTTTTCCTAGTTTTCTTCAAGTATGCATGCCCAGTAATTTTTTTTCTCGAGTAAGTAGGCTCAAATCTTGTAACGAAATATTATTAAAACGTTATCGACTTTTGTTATTTTGAGACATAGAGTTTCTGTTTGACTTTGAGATTTTAGCAAACTTTGGACGAGGATATATATATGTATATCAAGAGAGGAATAGGACTTCAAATAGCAGGGTATTCATCATTTTACACTTCTGTTTGTAAAACTTTGGTGTGTATAAGAACAAAGTGGCCTTTTTACATGCACTGCCATCTGATCTGCAATCAAAATAATAATAATAAAGCTTCTTAATAGATATTTTTCATTTGATCTAAAGAATATTGTAGACAACCATCTGATCTGCAATCAAAATAATAATAATAAAGCTTCTTAATAGATATTTTTCATTTGATCTAAAGAATATTGTAGACAATGGAATTTTAATTAAATTCTAAAAATTACCATTGGTCTATTAAAATATTTTTGTCCAATCGGATATTGCCATATGTCATGTACACTTGGAAAATTTGGTTATTAAGCAGCCAATTATATTTTGCCACGTGTCAAGGTGAGGTGTTCCAAATCAATTCAAATTGCAGGGGTATCTCCACCAACCAAATCATATCATATCATGTATTTATTGGATAAATATCTAAATATTTATTTCTTATTAAAGGGATAATATTTAGAATTGTTTAATCCAAGTATATCTCTTATATACTGCAATGGCCTGGCCAGTAAAATGGCGCCACGTCACGTGTCCCCACGAGTTTGGCCAATCGAGGAATTACTTATCTCTTTATTAATAAATATAAAATAAAGAGATAATATTTGGCTAGCACAGTCCTAATATGATTGCACGTCTTGCAAGACAAGTAAAGTGGTACACAGGTCTTCAACCTCTACCCCTTGCTACAGTTATAAATAGAGGTCTCTCAACCAAATCAAGGACACAAAAAAAAAACAAATACACAGAGGGACTTCAAAGAGCATCATATACGCTCAAAGCATTGAAACTCCAAGTTACAAAGGTTCGGCTCTTCAAGCTCTCCAAGTCTCCCAAATATCAAGACTTGAGTCTTCAAATATCTTCTAAAGTTCTTCAAATCTTCTATATCAAGATTTGAAGGAATCGGTGGTGGATCCAAGAACAAGCTGCGAAGCCCTTGGATTGGCGTTCGAGGAGAAGAATCGAGGGAAACTCTCCACAAGTTCGAGAAAACTTCCAGAGATTGTACCTACATATTTTTCTAAATTTATATATTACATATTTGTCGTGTATCTCTTTTTCTTGTCGTTTTGCAGACTTGAAATTTTTATCGCGTACAAATTTTTGGCACGCCCGGTGGGACCTCTCTGCCTTCCATCTCTTCTCCTCGAATATTCAACTACGTCTATCACCAATGGCACCAAAGAGCAACAAAATCGTGATTGCACGTTCCAAGGCTACTGATGCTAAGCCTGTTCAGGAAGCTGCACACGTTGCCACCAATACCCACGTTATTGGCCCCGTGACAAGGAGTATGACGAGAGCCTCCACCCAAAGTAGCATGGAACCCTCGGCGCCAACTCCCGTCTTCGGGTCAACATCACAAATGAGCTATTCCTCCACGATGGGGGTCCAAGACGTTTTCACCTCGATTGAGAAGGCTCTTGCCATGCTTGAACTTGGATCCGAATCCAAGTTCTCTAAGGATGACGATGATTCATCAAGCACTGGATCAGCCTCTTCACATGAAACTCTTCATTCAAGATTTTCTATTGAAGATTCTGCTGTTTCTTCTACTGCAATGCCTGCTATGATGACAAATGCTTTAAGTCTTGAAGAACAAGTTTCGAACATGTCCAAGATGATGGAAACCATGATGAAACACATCAAGGACCAAGATGCTCTCATTGCTCAACTGCTCACCCAAAAAGATCGCGCTCCTGAAGGAAGCCATGCGAATCAAGAGCGTGAAATTCCCTCGTCTAAAGGCAAAGACAAGGTGAAGGAAGTATATGTGACCGCCGATGGAACTATCCCCGTGGAACAACTGAAAGAACTTGTTGAAGGCGTGATCAAAGATAAAAAGGAGGGTGGTTCAAAGTCAAGCTTTACCTACTGCAAGCCTTACACTGCTAGAATCGACAATCTCGCAATGCCTGCTGGATATCAACCGCCTAAATTTCAACAGTTCGATGGGAAGGGTAGTCCAAAACAACATGTGGCCCATTTTGTCGAAACTTGCAACAATGCTGGAACCTATGGCGACCTTCTAGTCAAACAGTTCGTCCGATCCTTGAAGGGCAACGCGTTTGATTGGTACACTAATCTCACGCCGGGGTCCATCGACAGTTGGGGACAGCTGGAGCAGGAATTCTTGAATCGCTTCTACAGCACTAGAAGGACCGTTAGTATGCTGGAATTGACTAACACTCGTCAATGGAAGGATGAACCTGTGGTCAACTATATTGATAGATGGAGAAGTCTGAATCTCAACTGCAAGGATAGACTGTCTGAGCCCTCTGCCATAGAGATGTGCATCCGAGGAATGCATTGGAGCCTGAGCTATATTCTACAAGGTATACGCCCAAATACATTTGAAGAATTAGCTACTCGCGCTCATGATATGGATTAAGCATCACGGCCAATGCAACTGATGGGCTTCCTATTCAAGCTCCGCGAGTGCAGCCGCCTCGTCAAAGCAATGAAAGGCAAGAAAATAAAAAAGGGGGCAAGCCTTCTTCAAAATTCAGTAATAAGGAGTCCATGGCAATAAATACAGCTCCCATGAAAATTGCTACCAAAGTGAGCCGAAAGGTCACGAGAAGTTGGATCCATCTCAAAATAGGTCAATAAGAAGACCCACGTTAAAAGAGATGCAAGAAAAAGAATACCCTTTCCTTGAGTCCGACTTACAAGGAATGTTTGATGATCTTTTCAAGGAGAAACTCCTTGAACTTCCCGACATGAAGCGACCGGAGGAAGCCGGTCAAGTCAATGATCCGAATTATTGCTGTTATCACCGCTTGATTGGTTACCCTCTCACTAAATGCTTTGTCTTTAAGGACAAAATTATGGAATTAGCCCGCCAATGAAAAATCCTTCTTGAGGAGGATAAAGCATCGGCAAACCAAACAACAATAATGTTTGGATCTGTGTGTTGCCCGATAGAAGTTCTACCCACATCAAGCAGTGCTCTGTCTGTACAAACGGAGTTTGAAAAATCGTCAATTGAAAATGTTATTGAAGATGACAACGAAGGATGGACTTTAGTCACTCGAAAGAGGACTTGCAAGCCAAAAATAAAGAAGTACATCTTTTCGAAAAGCATTCATTCGACAAAGCCGAAAGTGACGATGAAACGACGAAATGCGACAAAGAAACAAAAGGGAGTCGCCACAACACTAATTTCGTCAGATTTTCAGCTTCTTCAAGAGGTTCGACAGCCCGTGACATTGAGAGAATTTATACCCAAGGGGTATTTAAGTGACGATACTGATAATTCCACTTCTTGTAATGTCGTCAAAGCTGAAAATCCTCAAGACACACAAATTGGCACTGAATTTGAGAAAAAACTCAAAGTCGATGATAAACCACCGGTGAATTGTGCGACGACCATCATTTTTGATGATGACGATTTAACTATTGAGTTCAAGACCCACAATCGACCTTTGTTTGTTAGTGCATATGTTCGAGAACAAAAGATGAATCGGATACTCATTGATGGGGGATCTGCCGTCAATATCATGTCCGTACGTGCTATGAAAGAGTTAGGAATCTCAAGTGATGAACTCTCCCAGAGCCGCCTCATGATCCAAGGATTTAACCAAGGGGGGCAAAGAGCAATTGGTCTCATAAGGCTTGAATTGCTCATTGGTGAGCTGTCTTCAAGTGCGTTATTTCATATTATTGAAGCCAAAACCTCTTATAACATGCTCTTGGGAAGGCCCTGGATTCACGAGAATGAAATTATACCATCTACTCTGCATCAATGTTTCAAGTATTGTCGAGACGGTATTGTTAAGAAAGTCACTGCCGACGACAAACCGTTCACGGAAGCCGAAACTCACTTTGCCGACGCCAAATTTTATCTTCACAAAGAAGCAAAAAGAAAGGAATCGGTGAGGGAAGAAAGTCAAGATTCCAAAGTACCCATTTTGCGGTATACTCCAAAATCAAAGAGAGAAGAAGGTCAGTCTTCTTTTATCAGAAATGACACATTAAATGTTCCGCTCACCAAGATAGAGCCTGTCAAAATTGAGAAGGTGAGCTTGCAAGGGTTTGTCCGTCCCAAAGAAGAATCGGCAGTGGAACATTACTCGCTACCAACTAATCGGACTCAAGAAGGTTTTGATCCAAACGCCTATAGATTTCTTGCTAAGGCGGGTTATAACCCAAATGAGAAGAATACATTGGGCAAACTCCCTCCTGAAGTGACTGACGAGAAGACTCACGGATTGACACCTACGCAGAAAATATTGAAAGAAAAGGGTTATAATGTTGAAAGTTCATCGATGGGTCTTGGTTATCAACCGCCCTCTCCTGTTCGTATAATGATCAAAAGAGCGAGTTGTAACTATGTGAACGAAGAAATGGAGGTCACAAGCCGAAGGAGATCTGTGTTCGATAGGTTGGGAAATAAGCCAAAGCGTATTTCTGTGTTTGACAGACTGGGCCCGCAGCCGAAAAATTTGAAGTCGCCTGTCTATGAAAGATTAGGCAGTAAAAAGCAAGAGTACCAGATTGCCAAGGAAGAAAGTATTACTCCAATAAAGAAGAACGGACCAAGAAAGCGAGTCTCCAATTTCTTCATGCACTATGGAGACTTATTCAATGTAAGAATTGAAACCATTTTTGAGGAACCGGGTCAAGAAAGTTTGGCTTCCTGTCACCATATTACGATCAGTAATCCCGAAAAAGAAGAAGAAGATGCAGACGACGCTCCCCCTGAACTTGAGCAAGGGGTAAAAAATACGGTCGATGAGCTAAAAGAGATTAACCTTGGCACAAGCGACGATTCTCGCCCAATTTACATAAGCTCTTGTATGACTCCTGAAGAAGAAAAAAAGTATGTTGATTTGCTGCTCGAGTTCAGGGACGTCTTTGCTTGGAATTACTCAGAAATGCCTGGTTTGGATCCAAGGGTCGCCGTTCATAATTTGTCCGTCAAGCGGGGAACAAAACCTGTCAAGCAAACGCAAAGGCGCTTTCGGCCCGAATTGATTCCCCTGATAGAAAATGAGATAAATCGATTGATTGAAGCTGGATTTATACGAGAAGTAAAATATCCAACATGGATTTCAAGCATCGTCCCTGTAAGGAAAAAGAATGGGCAAATTCAAGTTTGTGTTGACTTTCGAGATTTAAACGAGGCTTGCCCCAAAGATGATTTTCCTCTCCCCATCACAGAATTGACGGTAGATGCTACAACCGGACATGAAGCACTATCTTTTCTCGATGGATCGTCTGGCTACAATCAAATACGCATGGCGCCCGAGGATGAGGAGCTAACTGCCTTCCGCACCCCAAGGGAATTTATTGCTATAAAGTAATGCCGTTTGGCTTGAAAAATGCTGGAGCAACATATCAAAGGGCAATGCAAAGAATTTTTGACGATATGCTCCATAAAAATGTGGAGTGCTATGTCGATGATCTTGTGGTGAAATCAAAGAAGCGGGAAGATCATATTCAAGACCTTCGAAAAGTTTTTCAACGCCTTCGGAGATACCAACTGAAGATGAATCCTTTGAAGTGTGCGTTCGGAGTCACTTCTGGCAAGTTTCTCGGTTTCATCGTTCATCAGCGAGGAATAGAAGTCGATCGATCTAAAATTGATGCCATCGTGAACATGCCTGAACCGCGAAATATTCATGAATTGAAGAGTCTTCAAGGGAAGTTGGCTTATATCCGCAGGTTTATCTCTAATTTGGCCGGGCGATGCCAACCCTTTAGTCGACTGATGAAAAAAGGGGTACCTTTCGAGTGGGATGAATCGTGTAGGAATGCTTTTACAAGCATCAAAGCATATCTCATGAATCCCCCAGTGCTGGCTGCGCCCATTCCAGGGAAACCGTTGATTCTCTATATCTCCGCTCAAGAACGGTCGGTTGGGGCCTTACTTGCTCAAGAAAATGATGAAGGTAAGGAGAATGCACTGTATTACTTGAGCCGGATGATGACGTTTAATGAGTTGAACTACTCGCCCATCGAGAAGTTGTGTTTGGCACTTATATTTGTCATTCAGAAGTTGAAACATTACTTTCAAGCACACACTATTCGACTCATATCTAAGTCTAATCCCATTAAATATGTCATGGCAAAACCTGTACTGTCTGATCGACTCGCGAGATGGTACCTCCAGTTTCAACAGTTTGAAATTATTTACGTACCTGCGAAAGCTGTCAAAGGACAAATATTGGCAGACTTTTTAGCCGATCATCCACTACCTGCCGAGTGGGAGTTGACTGATGAACTTCCCGATGAAGAAATGTTTATGGTCGATTCGTCGTGGTCAATGTATTTCGATGGAGCTGCCCACCGTGATGGAGCTGGTGCGGGAGTTGTCTTTTATACTCCTGAAACAGATATATTGTCATACTCTTTCACTTTAACACGCCGGTGTTCCAACAATGTGGCTGAATATCAGGCGTTGATTCTCGATCTCGAAACGGCTGTAGACATGAAACAGTTGCATCTTAGAGTCTACGGTGATTCAAAATTGGTGGTAAATCAACTTCTTGGTGTTTATGATGTCAAGAAACCCGAATTGATCTCATATTATAAGTATGCAAGACAACTCATGGGATATTTAGGTAATGTCACTATAGAACATATCCCAAGAAATTTCAACCAACAAGCTGATTCTTTGGCAAGGGTGGCGTCCATGATCACTCTACCTTCTCATCGAAATCAAATTTCAATATGCCAAAATTGGGTCATACCTCCGATGTTTGATGAAAATGATGATGGTGAGGAAGAAAATACTTATCATATTTTTGTCCATGAGATCGAAAAGGAGGATTGGCGTCACCTCATCATTGATTACCTTAATCATGGGAAGTTACCAGAAGATCCTAAGAAAAGGGTTGATATACGTCGTCGAGCACCAAGTTTCATTTACTACAAAGGGACGCTTTACCGAAGGTCATTCGATGGGGTGTTTCTACGATGTCTTGGAGAAGATGAGGCCATGCAAGCAATGGAGGAGGCTCACTCTGGGATATGTGGTGCTCACCAATCTGGCCCGAAATTACACTTTCGCATTAAAAGAATGGGATACTACTGGCCAACAATGGTAAAGGACTGTATCGATTTTGCTAGAAGATGTCAAGTTTGTCAATTCCATGGCAATTTCATCCGTCAACCTCCTGAACCATTGCATCCAACTGTGGCGTCTTGGCCGTTCGATGCTTGGGGTTTGGATATAGTTGGACCACTTCCAAAATCTTCTGGCGGACACATTTTCATTTTGGCGGCGACAGATTACTTTTCAAAGTGGGCTGAAGCGGTTCCTCTAAGAGAGGTCAAAAAGGAGAATGTAGTAGATTTCATTCGCTTGCACATCATTTATCGGTATGGAGTCCCGCGGTATATCATCACCGATAATGGTAAGCCTTTTTGTAATGTAGCAATGAACAAACTTTGCGAAAAGTTTCATTTCAAACAATACAATTCGTCCATGTACTACGCTGCTGCAAACGGACTCGCTGAAGCATTCAACAAGACCTTATGTAATCTGTTGAAGAAAATCGTGGATAAATCGAAAAGGGATTGGCATCTTCGAATTGGAGAAGCGCTTTGGGCATACCGAACCACTTTTCGAACTCCCACACAAGCAACCCCATATGCGCTTGTTTACGGTGTTGAAGCTGTTCTTCCACTTGAGTGTCAAATACCTTCGCTAAGAATTGCAATTCAAGAAGGGCTCAGTGGAGAAAATAATGTTCCTCTTAACCTTGAGGAGTTAGAAGCACTCGACGAAAAGAGATTGGAAGCTCAGCAACGGATTGAGTGCTATCAGGCTCGCCTTTCAAAGGCATTCAATAAGCACGTTCGACCCCGCTCTTTCCAAATCGGAGAGTTAGTACTCGCCGTTCGGAGACCAATCATTCTCACTCATGGCGGACAAAGAAAGTTTACTCCTAAGTGGGATGGTCCATATGTCATTCGAGAAATATATACAAATGGCTCATACAAGTTGGTTGCTGAAGATGGATTAATGGTTGGCCCCATCAATGGCAAGTACCTAAAAAGGTACTATGCATAATCGGAACCGCGCGATGCTCCTGGCCCGCATGAGCTAAAACTGTGGATGGCAACCACCAATAGTGTAGTATGTGGTTAAACTGCTGAAACACTCCACCAAGTCTAAGGTGGTAAACAAATAGATACTCCTGGCCCGCATGAGATTAAAATGTGAACGGCAGGAACTACGTGTGACTTGATTCCCTTGTTGGGATACGTAGGCAGCTTAGAGGGCAACTTCTAAGTTCAGTTACACCGCACCAAATCAAATCCTTGTCCCTTACAGAAAAAAAAAGAAAAAGAATTTTCTCTTTCCAAAAAAAAATATATATATAAAAAAAATGCTCCATTTGAGTTCTTTTCTCTTAAAAAAAAAAAAAAAACAACAACAACAAGAGATAAGAAATGAAAAGCATTTTATTATTCAAAAGAAAAAACTCATTACATGGAAAAAAATGAGTGATAAAATAATTCAAGGAAAAGAAGAACATGGTAGAAAGTCTAAATATCAAATTTGTATTCCACTACAGCTACTTTATATGATTCAAGTGCAGACTTCATATCTTCAAGTTCCTTCATTGCGTCATCAGTCATGATGCTAGTATTTTCAATTGAAGATAGCTCATCATGCGCTTGGGTTATCTCAGCCTGGATCTCCTTGAAGGTCTCATGCTTTTGATCGATAGTCGAACTGATTTCCAGGCCTTGTTTCTCCAAACTGATGAGTTCCTGTTGCAGAACCTTCTTCCTGTCTTCAATGGACTGCAACTTTTCTTCAAGACTTTGCAAGTGACAAGTTAGTCCTTCTTCCTTTGCTTTAACTCTCTCGAGTTGGATGGTCGCGTTGAAAAGGAGTTCTGCATGTGTTTCTTTGCTCATCCTTTCCCACGATGAGGATGCCAGAACATCATATGCCTCCGCCTTGGCAAATAATTCCATCAAGTGATCTTTTAAAGGGAGACCATTGGTAGGATCCGTTCTTGTGATTTCAGCAATGATTTCCTCAGCACACTCTTTTAAAGAAGAGATCTGCTCAGTTGGAGTGTCAAGAATCTGTTCGCGAAAATCCATCCACAAACTCTGCAAGTACTTCCTTCGATGCGCCTGGATCAATTTTTGACCATGAAATTCTGAAACCAATGCTACCTTAGGTTTTTTTCGAATTTCGTGCAAATTAGTCAGCTCCTTCTTTGACAAAGCGCCTCCACTGGGGGCAAGTTGCTTTGGGATGCTGATAACGACTTCGTCACCTTTCTTGTTTGAAATTATAGCATCAGTCTCAAGTTCAAGTGGTGAATTGGTACCAACATCTTCTTGGTGGAATTCAAGAAGTGGGGGCTGAAAGAAAAAAAAGTGTGTTATGAAGGTTAAAAAAAAAAAAAGAAAAAAAAAAGAGGAAGATATGATTACCTTAAGCGGCGACACTCCAACCGACGGTGGTGAAAAGGAAATTTCCTCCAAATCAGAAGATGTCCTCTTCTTCGACCGGTTCCAATGACGGTCTTGGCTACTACTGCCACTCGCCAACGAATGGGCTCCTCTTTGGGTAGATTCGATGCCCTGAGTTTGAGTTACTTCTTGTTCTATAGCCTCGAGAGAATCACGGTCGTCCATCGTTTCAATTTCGACGTCTCCTTCTGTGTGAGTCACTGATAAAGATTTTGAAACCTTGGGCGGCATCTTCTTTGCTGGAATCACTGGTTGTGCCTCTTTGATGGCCTGTCGAGAGTCCTTGGAAGACTTATTTCTTGTAACAACGTTTTCCAATGGGCTGCTAATGATTTTGTTCTTCCGCAAGGTGGATGAGGTAAGACCCGTTACAATCTCTATAACTCCATTAGGATGCACTGACTCGTTGGCGGAGGTAACCTTACCCTTCTTCACTGATTGCTGAGGGATCTTAACGGTGAATTTTAAGGGAGTTGAAGAGACACTATTTGACCGAGTTGACCACCAGGCATCATAGTCTTTTGTGATCAATGGATGCTTCCTGTGCATGGGTATAGTCATTCGAGACCGCGTCTGCGTGCGAACTGAGGAATCCCATAGTTGAATAGCTTCACTTAAGGTATAAGTGTGAGTGATCTCTTTCAAGTTGTTGGGGATGTCCTGACAAAAACCGAATTGCCTGCTGAACCTGCAAGGATTATATTTTTCAATAATGAAAGTATTGTCCTTACGTAGAGTTAAATGGCAAGAGCGTTGACTAATGAAGTAGCTCGTGAGTCTCGATGATAAGGATCCGTCATCGATCAACGCCTTTTCTCCGTTCTCAGTCTAACACAATTTAGGAAGCATCAAAGGATTC